GAAATAAAAGTCATTCACACAATGATAATCATGGATGTAGCCTATACATGATACAAGCTTGGCTGGCGCACACTTCTGCGCGCACAACGCGATGGAAATAACTTCCTGTACTATTACTGACTTCTAATACCGACATACTCTTATCTGTCTCTGGAACTTGATATCAACCCTTCCTGCGCTAGTCTTTGATTCTTCATCACTCTCTCTATATAAAATTTTCCCTTCAGCATAAGCTTTTTGTTCCTGCTTTCTGAGTGCCATTGAAAAGCATATGCAGTAACTTCGCTTTTCGTGCCACAGCTACCCATCTCGGTGTTATAGAAAACCATGCAATAATTTATAGGGAATCAGAGAAAACAGAAAGAAAAAAATGGAGCGTTAGGTCTAAGGGGTGAACAGGAAAGACAACTTCAAAATCATTTTTTGATGAGAGATACAGCTTCTGAAGCTCGAACAGGAGGGACGGAACTTATGAATGCATTTTGTGCTAGTGAGAGTACTCGAAATCCTTTTTTTCTGGTTTTGACAGATTGTCCGGAACTCCTTAAAATAGATGTTTAAAACTGGAGCTGTAGGGATTGGTTTTCGGTTTTTTCCACATCTCACCTTTTGGAGAGTCCAGTAATCTCGCAAGATAAAAATAACAATTCGGGATCGTTTTTGCTCTCCTGTTTCGTGTATTTTGAAAATTTTCAAAACGGTTTTATTGTGTTGCATGGGCGGCATTTTTTTTGCTTGTGGTCGTTTAGTAGAGGTCTAAAAAGTCAAGTATTTCTATTGACGGTAAAGATGTAAACTGAAACACCTCACCTTCTGCAGAATGTTTCGGGATCATCTTAGCAAAACTTCATCAAAAACTATATTTTTCAAACAATTTGAGGTCGAATCCACTTTGATTCCGTCGGGTGTTCTCGCACGGGACAAAGCAACGTATAGCTGCCCGTGAGAGAAAACGTCTTCTGGAAGGAAGACCCCAACTTTGTTAAATGATTGCCCCTGGGCTTTATTTATCGTCATCGCGAACGCTACGCGTACAGGAAACTGTCGACGTCGAAGCTTGAAAGGGAGCCCTCTGGTCCCAGTAGTTGTCTATCCTTGGAATTATTGCTAACTGGTTTCTTCGTTCCCCACAGATAAACCTGCATGCCAACGTAAAGCGCCCGAGAGTTTCAACCTTGAGACGGGTTCCGTTACACAATCCGTTCGCCACGTCCAGGTTCCTGAGCAGCATAACTATTGCTCCTTTTTTCAGATGCAAGCTCGTGTGGGGGCATACCTGTGGGGGTGAGGGAATTCAGGTACTCCAGTTGGTAAAGCTGCCGTGGTTGACCTTCAGGATAAAGTGCTTCGTCAACGCTCTTGTAGATCCGTTCATCTTGTGCTGCGCCGACAGTGAGACGTTGAAGAGCGTCATCATTCAAACGCTGAACGTGTACGTTCTTTGGCGCCAGTATGGCATTCTCGCAGAGGTCTGAAGTAGTCGACGGGTCGAGCACATCTCCGAAAATTTCAGAGACAATATCGGTTTCACACATGATCTCTTCTGGGACCACCGTTCGGCCATCTTCATCGTTGGAATCTCCATTGCCAATTTCAAGCAGGCGTGCACTCCAGTCGCTGCCAGCTCTTCGCGACCTCATGTTTATCTCAAGCTTGTGAATGCGAAACAACGGCCAGAGGAATGAATTCAAAACGCAAGCTCCAACAATATCCTCCCTCTGGCCGTGTTCAACAACAGGTAATATCTGTCGGAAGTCACCACCGATCACAATCACTTTCCCGCCGAAAGGCGCATCCACTTGCATAATGTCCCTCAGGAGTGCATCAACCGCTTCCAGAGCTGTTTTTGGAGCCATCGAGATTTCGTCCCAAATGATGAGATCAGTTTCCATAAGTTGCTGGGCTTCTCTCTGTTGTCGTTTCATTGTGGAAGTTCTATTACCGTCGCCAATATTTAACTTGAAGACCGAATTGACAGTTCGTCCGCGTGGGAGCAAGTTGGCAGCGATCCCAGTCCATGCCACGCAAAGCACCTGTCGCCGCCTTCCGACAGCGATGTTATATATAGTGCTGTATAAGTAGGTCTTACCGCTACCACCGGGACCGTCAACGAATATGTATCTATTCGGAGAGCCTTCAAGAGCTCCAAGAATGTTGTCTGCCGCTGCCTTTTGGTCAGTATTGAGAGTTTCATACAGGTTCATTCCGTTTCTCTCGAAACTTTCATAGTCGACCGCTATTGTTGGTGAGCTGGGCGTTCTGGGGTAGGAGGAGCAACAATTTCAGTCAAATCTCTACCCATCATAGCCACCCGATCAAAGATGTCGTAATAGGCCAAAGCTAGAGCATGCTCTCGACTGTGGCCTTGGTGGGTGTAGTCGTCCGACATCATATCAGCGAACTCTTCCCACAAATCTTCCGCCTGCAACACTTCGCAAAAGCACAGAAGACATGCAAAGAAACTCCTCATGGTTGATGCGGACTGATAATGTGCTGCTTCCTGCATACTCTGCCTGAAGTACCTGTCATCATCCAAAAACCCAGCAGCTTTCGCTGCATCAGCGAAATGATTCGTAGACTCTGCCGTCGACTGTTCGCATGTCTTCGAAAGACGTTTTACCTTTAGTGTTGAGCAGAAGTATTCGTAGGCAGTATCGCTCCCTCTCTAAAGGTGACACTGTGAACATCCTACCGAGTTGCTTCCCTCCACGCTTTCTCGGCGTCCATCCACGTCGAGCGTCGAAAGTAAAATGTTCTGGTAACTGATAGTAATACAGGTTCCGTGAGTCGACAACTAAATCAGTCGGTTGTTCGCTTCCGAAGACTTGATTACTTCTTCTGTTCAGCTCGAAAAACGCTGTAAGAGTTGTCTGGAAGTCGGGCAAGTGGACGGCTAGTCTGCAAACCGTATGAGACTTATCCTGCATGTTGTACCCGAAAATTCGATAAATACTCTGCGGGGCACACACATAGCGAGTATTTAGATGTTGTTTAATCTCATCGAAGTTCTCGTTCTCGTCCACGTTCCCTTGTCCTTCAATGCTGATGCGAGCACGATCGGGGCCCTTGTAAATATATTTGTAGAGGTATTTGACCGCCGAAATTGTGCCACAAACTTCGAGGTTAATATGGCAGTCATATTTGAGAAGAAGGTATGGGTTTGTTGGCACCACCCATTCGTCACTGTAAGGGATACCATTTATCTCAGTAGGAAAGAGATTACGCCGTCTATAGTTGGGATAACCGTCTACATCCACGGAGGTTCTCTCGCGTATCCGTTTGGGGAACTTCTTAGAACATGAACCACCACGCATGCACGGTGATCTCGGATCCATGGATCCACACTGTCGATGAAGCATGTACGAAGACACGGCGGTATAGAGTTCAGGCTCGCTCTCTCTGTTTGGTATCTCGGCCGACACAGCTTTGTCTACATCTTCCGCTGTGCGCACTTTCCAGTCCTCTTTCATGATGAGAAGCATGTGACAGTGCGGTAAACCCCGCTTCTGGAATTCGATGACGTATACATATGCTTCCACTTCCCCTAGCACGTGTCGCTTGAATAAGTCGTCACAAAGTTCCCGCAGTTTTGCGTTAAACACGCGAGCCACCAAGTCAGGGCGATCAGACGACGACTGGCCATGATAGAGGTTTTCTCGTATTTCTCTCCATTGCGGGTTGCACGTCATCGTGAGGAAATACGTTGGTTTGCCGTAGCGCGCTACAATTGCCATAGCGTCTTGATACGCCTGCTGCATTGCTCGCGGACTGCCCAGGTGAGACGACGACAGCACGACGCGGTTCCCAGGTGGTCCTGAAATGTCATCTCTAGCCAAATAGTCCTGTAGTCCTCTGTAGGAATCACGTCGCAGAGCTAGTTGATTTCTTCTTTGGAAATTAAGGCGATTTTGCTCGATTTTCACGTACGCGTCAACAGCAAACTGTTGGCATAACTTCCCCGCATATAGAATCGGATTGAAAGTATCGCGAATTGAGAACAAATACGCGTAATACTCTTTCTGTGTGATGCGGGCTCCTGTTGCATTCATAAGGCTAGGCTCCCAACCACCATCTCCAGTCGGGAAGAGGAGCGGGTACGTCAACGGATCACATATCTTGTCTATATCGCGGATATTGATGAGCTGTTCGTCAGATTCGCCACGTAAATGAACTGCAAGACTTCTACGTGCAGGAACATCGTCGTCTTCACCCACATATATCACTGCAACTTCATTGGTAGTGGGAAGATCATATTGTCGTCGCTCTAATCCCCTCAAGGGGGATTCTTCAAAAACCATGCGAATGTTGAGTGGAACGCGATTTTCGCGTGCTGCCAAGGCTAGTTCTGCCTGTTCTACTTCGTGCATCATTTTAAAGGACCGGGCATACACATTAATGTTCGAGAGTAAGCTGCTGAGGAAGTGCATAAGTTCAGGTTCACACTCGGCGTTCATTGGGTTCCCGAGGCGCTGCTGAGCTGCCAATTCTGTGTCCAATATGTATATTTGCCCATATTGGCGTGGCTCTCCGTCTCTCGGATGTAAGAGGTCCTAGCCTGTGGATAAATCTGGCCATGTATTCGATAACAAGTAAGGGCCCACGTCCTTGAGGCGTTTCAACTTGCGCACCCATCGATGCCATCGCTAAGGCGGAGTTGAAACTCCTTATATTCTCCAGAAAGTTTTTCTGATTACGCCGTAGTTCTTCGTTTTGCTGTGGTTCTCGAACAAAGAGCTGCCGCAATTGTTCGGGAAAGTCATTGAAGAAGTTCAAGGAACATCGTCCAAGATCACAACACTCCTGGAACTTGCCCGGATGGGTGATTTTCACTTCGCAAGGGAAGTGCAGAGCTCCACAATCTATGCATCGTTGGCTGAGTTCGCCTAAATAGTTTGTTCCTGCAAAGCGTGTACGCAGCGCCTCTCCGGTAGACTCTGTAGTTCTGTTCCGTCGTGAGCGGGCAGCGGAAGCATTTATCCGTAGCCGAGCAGATCTTTCGTCTTCATTTTCAAGAGCACGGCGCCTCCGATGTCTTTCAGCGTCTTCTTGAAGCCGAGCGGCTCGTGCTGCGCTACTCTCTGATTCTCGCCTCCTCAGAAGACGCGCGGCTTCCGCTTGTGATCTCACTTCTCGCACTTCTATACTTTCAGATGTGCGTCTTCTATGCTGGATTTGTGCGTTCCGCTGCAGTCTTATCTCACGCTCATCAGTGGTTTCTAGTTGTCGTCTTCTTCTTTGCAGCTGACTGTTGTTCTCCAACCGTACTACTCGCTCTTCAGCCGCTTCCAAATCACGTCTCCTTCGTTGTCGTTCGGCATTTCTTTCCATCCTAACGACTCGTTGAGTAGCGTTCTTCCAAGCCGCGCCTCTGCTGCTCTCTTCGAGCGTTTCCCTGCAGCCGAAGAGCGCGCTCTTCGGGGTTCTCATCCTGGCGCCTCTGCCGCAGTCTCTGAGCATTCCCTGGAGTCGAAATATGCGCTCTTCGGAACTTTCAAGCTGGCGCCTCTGCTGTTGTCTATGAGCGCTCATTTGTAAGCGAGAAGAACGCTCTTCAGAACTTTCATGCTGTCGCCGCTGCTGTTCCCTATGAGCGTTAGCTTGTAAGCGAGATGAACGCTCTTTGGAACTTTCATGCTGGCGCCTCTGCTGTTGCCTCTGTGCGTTCCTCGTGTAACCGGAAAGACCGCTCTGCATGGCTTTCAATATGACGCCTCTGCTGCTGCCTTAGAGCGTCTTCTTGCTGTCGTGAAGTTCGTTCTGCAGCGCTTTCCATGTTGACGCCTCTGCTGCAGTCTCTGAGCATTCCTCTGAAGTCGAGCTGTTCTTTCTTCGGAACTTTCATGCTGACGCCTCTGCTGCTGCCTATGGGCGTTCGCCTGCAACCGGGAAGACCGCTCTTCCCAATTCTCATTTTCTCGCCGTTGTTGCTGCCGCGCAGACTCCGTTTCAAGGCGAACGGCCCTTTCTTGCGGCGTTTCACGCTGCCGTCTGATTCGAAGGCGCTCACTTTCGCTGGAATATATCCTGGGTCTACCCCTCTGTGAGTGCTGTTCCATTGCTCTTGATAGTGTGCGATGCTGAAAGTAAAGCAACCACTTGATCATAGAAAGATGTAGGAAGAGACTTTATGAGGGCCATGGGGGCGGCAGGCAGTATATGTAAGATTTTCTTGAGGGAAGACTGAAATTGGAAGCATCTACACTTTGCTTCCTTGGAATCAACGAAAATGGTGATCTACGTTTTTGGATACAACACTGAGAAGGAAGTTTACTTCCGGTTTGTAAATTCCGAGCCCCACGGTTCTCAGCGACCGGGGCCTTGATGATGATAAAAGGGTCAGATAGAATCCGATTGGTTCCGCCCAACTGGTGAAATTCGCGGTCTTCGAGAACATCGAATCCTTGAGGTCCCATCGTATGAGAGTGGTCCTCGTTTCATTTCTGCACAGATTTAATGTTTGGACAACAAAGCGATCGCTAATGGTGAGCTGTGGGGAGGGATAGTCAAATGGAATCTCACAGCGTGTGAGGTACAGTTGCTCACAGAATTCAACCCCTGACAACAAAACCTCGATTTGGTGGTGCAGTAGATAAAGCGCTCTAAGGTGAAGATTACGGCTCACGGTATATGTGGAGGAAGTCAAGCTAAAGGGATTGAAAATGTCTTATAGGTAGGGATCCTAGAGGAAACTCTGCATGTTCACCAATATGAGCTGTTTGCCGCTCAGTTCCTGCCGCCCGAACGAAACTCAGAACAGTTGACAATTACCTGAGAAAAAGTTGCTGTAGGGATCCACCAAAGCAAATGATGGAAAAATGAGCTAAGATTCACTGACATCTTATCATACTTTGTCGATTGATACGGCTCTCCGTTGCACATTATCAACATATGAACGTATCAACACTTCCAACCATATCATCATTTTGCAGATTCTTATTGATTTTCAATCCGACAGTTCTGATACGTGTTGGAAATAGGCTACTCATTAGGTTCCAAGAAGTTTTGGCGGTTGATCATTCGATGATAGTCATTCTCATTTACATACTGTGAAACTTCTTACTGACTTTCAATGATCCCTTTCTGCCATACACTATTTGTTTGCCAGTTCCTCCACATATTTAGCATATAGAACTGCACACATAACACCATAACTTATGGAAAACACACTACACTTCATAAAACTGCATTTGCAATGATCAGAAGGCACGCAGAATTCTGTGATGCGCCCTCCGAGGCTCAGTATCACCATTTTCATTTTCTTTTCTTTCTTTTTTCTTTTCATTTCCTGCTAATGATGCCCTGCATCGTTAGCAGAAATACAGTATGTGGTATTTAGAAGTTTTATGACCCTTACCCTGAATCCCGCGTAGCTCGGAATTCAGCCCTTCTTTACTACTCAAGATAATTCTACTTACCCCTTCTCCCTTCTCATTTTCAGAACTAATGTCTACTTGTTACTGCGAAAGGACCAACCTACTGGATGATTTTGTTATCAATTGTTATCATTTTATGGCGCCAACCAATTTTTCATCCTGCCCCTAATGGTGCCTCTTGGAAGAGAAGCCCCGTCGTTGCTGTTTCCCACGCTGCGAAGTTGGCGACACTCCCTCTTTAAGGCCCCTGATAGTATCTTATCAGCTGCTATCGCTCCTGCCACCTAAAAATGATGTGCCCATCTTGCCCTTATATTACTTCTTGGAACTAACGTCTCGCTATTGCTAGGGCCCGCGCTATGATGTTGGTCACCCTAACTTTGTGAGGCCCCTTATAGTATCTTATCAGCTGTGACACCCACTCCCTTTCACCCACTCCGATGTTCCCATCCTGCCCCCTATCTTACTTCTTGGATCCAACGTCCCGTCATTGCTCTGGCCGGTGTTATGAATTAGGTAACCCACTCTTTTTAAGGCTCCTTATGGTATCTTATCAGCTGTTATCACTTCCTGCCACCCACCAATAATGTTCCCATCCTGCCCCCTATCTTACTACTTGGATCCAACGTCCGGTCGTTGCTCTGGCCGGTGTTATGAATTAGGTAACCCACTCTTTCTGGGCTCCTGGTATCTTATCAGCTGTTATCACTTCCTGCCACCCACCAATAATGTTCCCATCCTGCCCCCTATCTTACTTCTTGGAACCAACGCTCTAGCCTTGCTGTGACGCGCGTTATGAAGTTGATGCTCCTCCCTTTCTGAGGCCCCTTATGGTATCTTATCAACTGTTATCACTTCCTGCCACCCACCAATAATGTTCCCATCCTGCCCCCTATCTTACTTCTTGGAACCAACGCTCTAGCCTTGCTGTGACGCGCGTTATGAAGTTGCTGCCTTCCTTTT